TATTTTTTTAAAGTCATTTCCTGATAATTATAATGTACGGTCATTTTTTAAATAAACTTTTAAAAATAAGTTTAGTTTTACAGAAATGTTACAAAGATAATAGAGTTCCCATATGCCTCACACTTAGATTCACTACCATGGCATATTTGTCAAAATTAAGAAACTGACATTGGTATATTACTATTAACTCAACTCCAGACTTCATTAGAATTTCACTAATTTTTTTTCCTTGATGTCCTCTTTCTGTTCCAGGATCTGATCCAGAGTACCATTTTGCATTTAGATGCCACGTCTCATTAGTTGGCTCTGGTTAGTGACAGTTTCTCAGACTTTCCTTGTTATTTTCCCGAATACTTCTAGCCAGGTATCCCAGAAAATGACTCTAGATCTGGGTTTGTCTGATGTTTTTCTCATGATAGGATCTATATTATGGACAGGTTTTTGGAAAGAATGCCATAGAAGTGAAATGCCCATCTAGTCATATCATATCAGGGTATAGCTCCATGTTTTAGAACAACTGCCCTAGTTAAATAGCGGCTGCATGGAACGGAACTAGCAGGATCAGTATAGGAAGTCAGGAGGGATGACGTGAGGCCAGCAGTCTAGCTCCATCTCTTCCAAATAAGCCACCTGAATTAAGAGTCAAGAGACAAGTGTTCTTTCCCAGGCTCATCCCCTAACTAGTACTTAGGGAAGCCAACCACAGTCTTCTAGTGGTAGCTTCTTCACCTGTACAATGTAGAAGTTGATATCTATAGTCATTTCTAGTCTTGAAATTATGTGATTCCAAAACTCTAGAGTGGGTTTTCATCGGTCAAATATTGTCCACAATTCTATTTCTTAAGAGGAATGTGTTGTAAAGCTGAGCAAGACTAACGTCTGGGTTTCTGTAAAGGGAGATGGCAGAGAGGTCACTCTGCTTCACTATTTGGCACTTATGGTACTTGTATCCTAAGAATGTCAAGGACCTGGCAGAAAGAAAAGAAATAGCAAAAACTTGAAGAAAATTCATTTCATTCACTCGTCTTTCTTCCTGGGACTCACTGTTATTCCTTCTCTTACAGTGGATTAAGAAGTAATGACATAATTTGTTTTTGAAATGTTAGGAGTGCATATTTTAGTACTTAAAAAAAATCTTTTAATGTTGACCGTTTGCGTAAATCTTACCGGAAATGAGGGATGACTGGCTTGCAGTATTCGATGTTCTCAGTTGCCAATAATTTGTACAGAGCCTATGATTGCAAAACCACAAAAATTTCACAATAGTGGAAACCTCTAATTAACCATAATAAATGACAGGGTGGATTTGTTTTAAATACATGTTCAATGATGCTTATTGCTTTAAGGTCATAAACTGAAAGATTCTCTGTTGGGGTGAGATAGGTAGGCTGTGAATGGTTTTGCAAAATAGTTTTTCACCTCTGCATGTAAAGTCTGACCCAGAACATTCTACTAATATTGGATCAGACTCTCATCTGATGTAATTTGCCTGTGGGAATTGTATTGGCTGTGAAACTAGCTCCTCTTAGTAGCTGTTGAAAAAAATAAAAAAAGTTTTAAAAAAATCACAATTCTGTGGTGCGTTTTGAATGACTGAAGCCAGGTTCCTAGGCACTGAGACAAGAAAGAATGTCAAATAGGACCTTTAATGTGTATTTATACTTAAACATCAGACCTAACAGGAAACCCTTAAGCTTTATACAATGATTAGAGCCTTGTAAGAACCTAATTAATGTATTGTCGGGTGAATGGTTGGCCTGGCACGCGAGCTGTTCTGAGGGACGTGAGGGGGGTTCAGGTACCGCCTAGGAAGAATAGATGCAGTTGTAGTGATTCAGTGGCCCCTCTGAAAGGGACATGTAAAGGCAGCTTTGTCTGGCATGCAGCCTTTTCAGACCCACTTGATAATGCCAGTGTCAGTTTCAACTGAAGCGTGTGCCAGATTGCAGATAGTTTGAGCTGGCATTTCAAAGCAGTTAATTGTGAAACTTGAGAAGAAAATGGGCACGTTCTTCAGAGGTAGCTATTCAAATGCAGTCTGTTCCTTCCCTCACCCCCCAGAGCTCCCTGGGTCTCACTTTTTTTCTGCTCCCATATAAAACGCATGAGGAACACTGAGCCTTTCCCTTTGGCAGGTCCTATATTGCCATCTTTGTTGGGACTGTTTTGCCTTGTTAAAATGTGCCCCGTGTATTAAAATGAAATTGTCACTGCTGGGTGGTGCAGCATAACATGATTTGACACTAAGCGCCGGCAGCTACAGAAAACAGACTTTTATTGCATTTATTCTTTCAGAGACAAGAGTCTCTAAAGGCTCACTGTAGACATTCACTTAGTTAAATCTAAATGAAGTTAAAGTGAACAGTCTACGCTGCTGTCTTTGTGTTCACAGAAACAGGCCCCATCCAGCTTGAATGGCTTTAAAACAGTCTTAAGAAAAGACGATCGTACATAGAATCTAAAAGGGAAGACCTGAGTCTTTCAAACCAGAACAAAAATATTTTAGGCGAATCGAGTGGATTAGCCACTTGATTTTTTTTCCTTACCTTTTTCTGTATTCCCTAAAACACATATGGAGAATCAACAAGCACACACATACACTCACACACACACACACCCATCTAGTTTTAGTCTTCATTTAGAATTTCATGTCATATTAAGACAAAGAAAGGACTTGATTTGTAGGACTCTTGCAAGCAAGCTTTAGATTCTTAACTGCCTTTTATCTAGATGAGTACCCAGAGAGAGCTTGAACAGGGAGGGGGCTCTGGGGCATAAGCTTTTCATTCTGTAGCTCTCCTGAAATAAAAATTCCATAAAGTAACATCTGTAGTAATTAAGGGCTTAGGTTTTCTCTCCCATTCACGTCTCTGCTAGGAAGGAAGGTTATGTTCCCTAAGAGACAATAGATAGTAGATCCTGTGGGAAGAGAGGAAGAGCAGAATTAGAATTCTTTTGTTCCTAGAAATGGAAGTTTCCTACTTAAAAAAAAAAAAAAAAGTTAGAAGACTTACTGTAAAAGATTCTACCAGAAGAAAACTTGAAGTTAGGAATATTGTACTTAGCCACTCTTTAATATTTGGAATGCGGAAAGATTTATTTTGCCTTTCTGATCCAAATATCTTCTGATTTGGGGGAAAATGTGACTAAATGAACAAAATACTACCTTTGTTTTTATATTTTTATCATTTTTAATTGCATGTTACTAAGCTCGAAGAGTTTTTTTTTTCATTTGGACAGAAAATCAATTCATTCTTCAGATCATCCTCAAAATAACACTTATTTGGATCCGTTGGGCTATTTGATGAATGAATACTAATTGATTAATGTCAAATTAGTTTCCTGTACTTTCTTGTCATACAAACACCAGCTACTTAATTTGTGGAACCCAATGAAATATAAAAATGAAGGACCCCTTGTTAGAAAATTATTAAGAATTTCAGGATGATGACAACAGAGTTTTAAACCTAGTACAGACTTGTTCTAAGAGTGTGGCTCTGTGGTTCTGCACAGGTGTCAGACCCTAAAGCCAGTCCTGCTTAGTAGGTAGAGATTTGCCATGTGTATCAATGTGGAAAAATGTCCTCCCACTCTATGCTGGAATGTACATCAGAAACTTTTTAAAATTCGAGTCAGAAAATAATTTCAGCTCCCCAGATAAAACATGCTCTGGATACCATCTTCAAATTTTTTAACCTGGTAACTCAGATGCTCTTGTTTGCATCTCTCGGCTTTGCTCTAATAGTTTCCCCATAAAAACCAGTCCCCTGCCCTAATTACTTCTCCAAGGGCCCTCCGGCCTGATGTGCCCACTTTTCAGAATTTCCCCGGCTTCTGGAATTCCTCTCACGTTTCAATTCCGATAGCTGTAATAAATGTATAACTTATTTGGCATTTGTTTACATATTTTTTCCTTATCTTGTATCCTTTACATATAATGTGGTCACATAACACATTCTGAAAATACACATAGGATTAGATTTAGGAAAATTTTACAACTTGTGTCAAAGGGCTCCATTCCAAGATAGCTCATATCAATAACAGAGCAGAAAGTCCAAAATTATAATTATACTTTGCCTTTTAGACAAATTTCACACATTTCATGCACATTCTTCCATATGTATGTGTTGTTTCTTAAATTTATTTTTGTCTCTAGTGTGCTGTTGAAGGACTTAACTTCCTTTAGTCAGAATCGACACTTTAATTTTTATCTCCCCATCCGAATTTATAAAATAATGAAGCCCAGTTATAGCTGATTATTTAGGAAATATCTCTGATACTAGTCTACTTAAGATATGACAACACTGCCAATATTGACATTAGATAGTATGGCTCAAAATTTTCATTCATTAGCTTCTATATGAAATGACAAAAATTGGCACAAAAAAATACAGTTTAGCGATATTGATATCTAGTATAAAAAGAATAGAGGATTGTTCAAAATTCAAAATTAAAAAAGTTCAGGACCTGAGGTTTGTGTAGTTACATTTTCATCCTACATTTGGGACACCAAACAATTCTCTTTTATATCATTCTCCCAGTGGGTTTTTGGTAAAAGTGCCGTGATGGTGATGATGACACGACTTTTTAATCTCCTTAGCAGTATAACTGAGCAGTTACAGGACGCCTTTGGTGTCAGTCAGGCCTCAGTTACAATCCAGGCTCTGACACTTATTGGCAAAGTAGTTCATCCCTCTAAGCCTCATTTATCAAGTACTTTCAATTGCCAAACGTTGTGGGAATTAAATAAGATACTGCCTCGGTGTTACCTCTGGGTGAAGTCTCAGCACAGAGCCAGCCATGTAGGCAACTTTTCATATAAGAAATAATACTCTAAACAATGAGTTTTTGATGTCAGTGATTGATAAATTCTCTGGTAATATTTTCAAATCAAGCTTTTCCATGGCTTTCTTATTTCCTTTTTTGTTTTTATTTATTTTTTCCTTAATATGCACAACTTCATGAAAAGTATATGATCCCTCGTTTACTTCTTTTTCCAGAATGGAGTCTACTGAAAAATGTGAAGTGGTAATTCAACATTTTAATGGAAAATATCTGAAAACACCACCAGGCATCCCAGGTAAGAAATAAAGCAGGGGTCCCCAACCCTTGGGCCACAGACCAGTACCGGTCCATGGCCTATTAGGAACCAGTCTACACAGCAGGAGGTGAGCAACTGAAGCATCATCTATATTTGCAGCTGCTCCCCAGTGCTAGCATCACCGCCTCAGCTTCACCTCAGATCATCAGGCATTAGATTCTCGTAGGAGCACCAGTCCCTGGTGCCAAAAAGGTTGGGGACTACTGCCATAAAACGATTGTTCAAAAGCGTCTAGGCTTAATGCTGTTGTTAGAATGTGTACATGGTAAGGCCCTTTGTTGGTTACTGGCCGGGCAAATGTTCCATTTTTAATCCTGTGTACCAACTCATTTTTCTCAAAGCTACCCAAAGCTTCTTGATGATTCTTCTTTGGCCTTTTTTTGAATCTCTGCCGCTAATTCTATTAAGTGAATTAGAAGAAAAACATAGCAAAGAACAGTTAAAAATGCACTTAAAGTGAAGAAATTTTATGACTAAATATTAGTATCTCACTTTCTAATTTATAAAATGTCTGAACAGTGAGGTTCACAGTAGAGTTCACAGATTGATGCCAGTTTTCAAACATATCTTACCAATCCATAGCAAGAAGAGCACAGAAACCAAGAGTAAGCATTTAGAAACCTTTATAGCAATTTGACATTGCCATAAAATCTGTGTGCATAAATTTCATATTTTTCAAAACTATCAGTTATTGATATATTGAAAATAATTAATAAAACTGTTCATTCATCAGAGATACTTTGAGGAACACCAATCTAGACCATCCTAGGACATCACACATTTCTCAAGGCAAAATTCTTAACTACACACATTGTAAAATGTTACTAAGAATTGCATTTGACATGCAAGAATTGAATATATTACATGTTAGGGCTTAAGCAGAAATGTCTGATATTAATCTGGTAGTAGAATATATGGAAAGTATTTAATATTAGGTGAGTAAATTTAAAAATATATCTTACTCATGCATAAAAAACATTAAAGATTGAATGAGGTGCTAAAAAAATAAGAACTGCAAGTAGATAAAGAGATATCTGACTATAACGCATGTTGGTTTATTGTTGCTGTTTTGTTTTTGGTGAGTCTTAGGAGGAAAATGTGACTTCTTCAGCCATATAATATTTTTCTTTTGAACTTTTAAAGCTGGATTTCTATAGCATTTTCTATGTAATGTGTCTACTATTTAAAATCCATAGTTAAAGAGTTCAGGGATTGAACATTTCAATTCCTTAGACTATGTTAAGGTTATATGGAAGAAAAAGTCTGAGCAAAAAGAGAAATGTTTTGTGGAGAAGTCAGGGTCTTTTTATGAATTGGTTGGTTTGAGGAGGATGTCAGAAAAGGAGAAAGGCCCTTCAGATTGATACTTGGATGATCTGGAAAATCCAAAGTAACATCTCTTGGTTAATCGAAGAGTCAACACACAGTGAAGCCTGTGACACGATTTGGTTAGCTTCCATGCATAACGTTGCCTTGAGAACTGACTGCATTATGATCCTATTGGAGACATATAGTGTTGTTAAGAAAAGAGTTAGCAGTTTACATCTCAGCATGTAAGCTGTCCTTGCATTTTAAGAGACATACTTTTTATTTTTTTCCTTTAGCATAAAAAGCAATTTAAGATACTGCTCCATTCAAAACCCATCATTGAATAAAAAAGTTGAATTGTTAGAGGATTTTCTCTTTATTTATCCTATTTTATACAACAGATGTGTATTTATATAGAAGACATTCAAACTATGTGTGAATTATATGGGTATATAAAATTTTTAAGAATGAGCAAATTATATAGAAATCATTGTTGATTCAAGTTTTAATACAGGTCTCTGTGTTTTAGGTTTCTTCTTTTTCAGAAAAATAAAACCAATGAAATCTTTCTTGACTTGATCAATTTGAAATTGTTTTATTTGGTTTTCCAATAAAACATACAGCTGACTAATACAATTTAATGCTAAAGACAAAGAGCGTCACTAAAAATCTCCCAAACATCTGGGTATTCTTCTGAAATATGCAGGCTGTGATATCAACCTATCTAATATCATAGCTACACCCAATGGAAACATTGTGAATAGCAAGAACTTAGAGTTTCTCATTCACTTTTATCTCATGGGAACATGAGAGGCAAAATAATTAGGTTCAGTTATAAAACTTTTAAGAGATATACCTGTATGCTTCTGAGATTTGCACTCAACACAGTAGAATTAAATATACAGTATCGATCATCATTAGTACTTGCATTTGCTTAATTATCTATTCGGAGTCAGATAGTTTAATAAAGGCTTCAAATGCTAGCAGAACATATTTAATCTCTGATATTTAAATTCTCTGTGGAATAAAAGAGGATATAATGTAAGATGTAGGTATTTCAAAAGATAAAGTAGTAAAATGACCTCATTAGGTACGTTTACTAAGTCAAAACGAGTATAATCAAATTTGGGAGTGTGCTGTTTGCCTTCAGTGATCCTCATTGTTTATTTGTTGTAGGTGGTTGAAATCTATTTTCAGAAACTCATATTCTAATCCAGTTATCTCTTCCCCCTTGAAGACTGTGCGTGGGATGTCACTGTGAGCTCTGATATCAAATCAGAAGCCATGCCTTTGGTATTTTCGAAAGAAGTGACCAATTTCCTAACTTTTTAAATATTAATGTAATTTTAGAGAGACTGCTCTTGCTTGTGGGTGTACTAATTAAAACCAACTATAATTGATCTCACCTAACTCTAACTAAAATAGAATTCAGGAAATTATTTTAAAAATCTCAGTGTTCCACATTGTCAAGATTAGATATCTTTGAATCCAGAAGTTTGTGGTTTTATAAAATTCACATTGATTGTTTCAGTAAAATGCCTTAAGCTTGTGTGATTGAGGGACCCACAATAACCCAATAATGACCTGAAATTCTCAGGCCATAAGAAAACTGTTGAAAAGATGGCATGTTAAATCGACTATCTTTTTCTCATTACTAGAGCCCTGCTTTTAACCTTAGTCTAAGCAAGTAGAGAACATTGGTATGAAATTTACTTTTCCATTCAGAGATGACTTGGGGAAATGTACACACGTCATGGGCAAATATAGTGCCGTTTTGACTTCTGTCACTCTTGGCAATGATACCACTTAAAGGAGAAGCAAAGTTTGGTTTTTTTTTCCCCCCTGATATGGTCACCTAATTTCTAAATCCCCTACTGTAACATTACTATAAAAAAAAAAAAAACCCACAAAAAAAATACACTTCAACCCAAAATTTTAACATTGCTCTGGATTTCAGATTCTAAGAACATCATAGTTAAGGATGTTTACAAGGACATATAACATTGACTACATTTATGTTACTGCCTCCATTTTTATTTGCATCATTCTAGGAACAATTTGCTCATTAAATACATTTCATGATGGCATTTAGTTTTGATACTTGACAGATTATGAGAGTCAGAAGGAAACTGCAGATACTTCTTTGGACTCATGCTTTCTTTCTCTGGGATTCTCCTACTTGTTTATAAAAGATCTAATTCTAACCCGTTACCCATTTGTCCCAAGAATACTCACCAGTAGCACTTGTGGCTGCAGCATTTACCCTAAGACAACTTGTGGATTACAGTCTTAACCTTACTCCCAAAGTCTGCCAAAAAATATCTTGCTTTTATTATTATTTTCGTATCACACTGGTATATCAATAGTCTTTAGAAACAAATGATATCATTCTATTTATAGCATTCTGTTTTTAGTAGTGGTATTTCCATTTACAAAATACAGTAAATTCTCAATTGCTGAAAATGTCAAATCTTAGAAAATGTGGCATTCCTACGTGTGATGTTAAATGAACGCTGGCAGCGAGCTGCACTTTTTCTTTCTAAATGAGAAAAGGGCTAATGAATGCATCATGGTTAATTAATGCCTATTACAGCCTCTCAGAACTAGCTCTGTTCACTTGAATTATTTTATTCCCTGATTTTGGTTACCTGGATCAATGAAGCTGAATATACCTGCCCAAAATCAAATTATTTGAATCCCGGTATACATAGTACAGGAAATTAACAAAGATCAGACATCTGTGTAGTTACTAGCAGGTGGGAAGGAGAGGCCAAAGATGTTTATTAAACAGCATCAATCATTGTAGCCATCCTTAGAAAGAGATCATCCAGCATTTTCTCCCTTCCCTAGAGGAAAACGAAAACACAATGTTCCATAAATGTTGCATGTCCCACGTATCGATCTTGATGTTTTCTGGACAAAATGAAGGATCATTAGTTGCTTGCCTGCCTAACCCCAGACATTTCTTTGTCCCATAATGAATTGCACAGCAATGTTGTGCAACCCCAAAGCGTTTCATTTTTAAACCTCTAGCAAAAGCAAAGGGTAAGTTCCCAGACACTTCAGGGATCTATAGGGCATGAACTTGAAAGGCTCACTTTCAAAGAGCCCCCAGAGAAGAGTGATGTGGAAAAGGCTTCCACATGTAGGGACAGGTATTGATGAACAGAATGTGCAGGCTAGTTTGTAGAAAAATAAATCATGTTTTTCTCTCAAACTAGACTTTTGCCTGTAAGCACCTGTTCTTATTAGTGGAGCAGTCTTTCCAGAAGAAAATGGAATAATTATCTTTTAGTATGATTTTCTTACTCTTCAGATAATTATTTCTAATCCCTAAGGAACTCCAAGAAGCAGGAAAGGGTTGAGAGAAAATTCAGCATATTTAGGGATCTTTTAACAAATCTCGTGATCAACAAATTTGGACATATAATTGACGGAGGAATCATTTTTCTAATAAAATAAAACTGTGCCTTCTTGATGCTTTGACATATAATTTTACTATTGTGTGTTGACATAAATTTAAAAAATATATTGTGAATATGTTTGTATACTTCATGGGAGCATGTAAGGAAAATATTTAAAATCTGATCTTTTTTTTAAATGAAGAAAGAAAATGTTATTTGTTAAATGTAAAACTTCCCCCAGAATAAAATATCAACAATGTGCTTAAA